ATGAAGAGTTTGATGTTAAGTATTAGGCTTCATCTAGCACGCCTGAGTCACATGCAGTAATAGCTTGTAACTCAGCAGGCTGGGCTGTACATTAAAAATGAACCATCCCATATATGAATAATGACTATTTCTTCAAAAGTAACAATGTGATATTAGTGAATATGGCAAAGCTTGAAAGCTTCTACCAGCAAACTGATGAAAGTGGCAGAGTTAAGAGACACATACTAGTCTGGATTATTGCGGAGGTTGCCTAGGGATTGGGCAGGTACTGGGAAGGCTGAAAATGGTGGTTAGAACCAGGTCCCTTGATAGAAAGTTGAGGGCACAAGCTTTGGTTTTAGACCTAAGATAAAGAAGACCTTGAAGGCAGTGTCGTCTAGTGGATTTAGGAGACAGCCCTGGACTTTCAATTTCTGCTACACTGTCAGCACTGTGTGCTTTGGGCAAGTTGCTTAATTACCCTGTTTCTTCACTCGTATAATAGGGATAAAACACCTACTTTGTAAGATTGCACTGATAAGTAAGCATGATACTGTTTATAAAATCCTTGGCATAATGCCTGACCTCAAAGAGAGTCTAGCTAAATGGTACTCATCATCAGAGATGTCCAATAAAGAACAGGGCTGTCCTGTAGTAGGAAGCTCGCTGCCTCTAAATTATTCAGTAATTCAGTTAGCCACTAGCAGCATACCTCCTGGTATGAGCATGGAGAGTGGCAGGACTTGTGATAGGACCCTACCAAAAGCATTCAAACCTATGGCATATGAATGCTTACATTGCTTAATAAATATTGATTCTAAAATAAAATTGCTCCAAAATACACAAAATTAAAATTACTGGAGTCACAGGGAAAACACACAAATCCATCATTAAATGGGAGATTGCCTGTTTGATCTACTTTATCTATTAATGGAGTGAGAGACATACTGACAGGTAAATCTGAACATGAACAATAGTAAAGATGTAGAAATTCAAGCTACCAAACTTGATTTATTGTGTGTGTATATGTGTATATGTGTGTGTGTTTATCAGCCTCATTAGTTATTACTGGGGTGCATATTCAGTAGGGGGGGCATGAGTTTATTATATTATTGAGAAAAGCCACAACAAATTACAAATGTGACAAAACCTGGTAAAGGACCTTTTTTTTTAAAAAAAAGGAATTGTCTCACACACCTCCATAGCTTTCTCCTTCATTTTTTTTAGCTGCATAGCCTTTGATCCCCTTTTCATATGACAGTGATTTCTGTTACAGTTTTCTAAAGAGAGACAGAAAAAGATTATTATGTCTTTTTTTTAGCATGGTTTATTGAAAAATTTATTTTATTTTTTTAAAGATTTATCTATTTATGCATACAAGAACCGGTGCACAGGCCAGAGATGTGGGGGGTGAGAGGATCCACCAGAGACAAAGTGGGGAGCAGGCGGACTGACTGAAATACACTGCTGAAGGGAGCAACAGGAGAGTCAGGTGAGGTCTGCTGAGCCATGTGGGTAGCTCCCCGGCCAGGGATCGAACTCGAACTGCAGTGGCTGCGGACAGCTTCATAGGTTGCATCTTAATTCCCTGCCCCACCGGGGAGGCCCAAAAAATTTTATTATTGCTACGTGAGATGTAAAAAGCTTGTGTCTTCCCATCCAGAAAGAGTGACCTACAAGCTCAGGGATCTGAATAATTCTACTTTGTGATTCCCATCAATAAAGAAAAAAATTCAAAGTACATTTATAATTATATAATCATGAATACATTCTCAATGGAAAGAACAACTTTTTGACTGGACATTGGTCAGAACCTAATCCTGCATTTACAATCCTGCATTTACAATCATGAATTTTTACAGATTAGCTTCTAGCTTCCTATATCAAACTATACTTCTCCCCCATCATGCATATACTTCTAGAACTGAATGCTGTAGGACACATTGAGATCCTAATATGACATCTGTATCTGTTCCTGCCCCTTCCTACTCTGGGAATATTAACATATAACATATTATATACATATTATTATACATATTATAATACATATTAACATAGATACTTTGGGAATATTAACATACACAGTCTGTGTATGTGTATAATATATATATATATTCCACCTACCTAAAAGTAAATGGTATTCCTCCAGTTCAATCCATCTTCGTTCAAGCCCCAAATGCTTGCATCCATCCATCCATCATCATCCCAATTTAAGAAATGCTGAAGGTGGGAAAGCTGGAGTGGAAAAAGAAAGTTGTCCTAATCTATTGTGCAAATTTTATTTGCAGAGTTTACAAAAATATACGACCTTGTGAACACATAGCCAGGGCTGTGCTGTTAGGGCTATGGAAGGGACCCGTGGGGGTAAGGGGTCCTGAAATAAAGTTTCATTAGCTTTATGGTAAATTTGCTTCTAGTAATAACAAAATTCTGGGCACAGAGTTCTGGGAACCCAACTATCACCAGGAAAATGGATAAACAGTTATACATGTTGTAGGGTAAATGGTTTCCAGGCTTTTCTGCCCTCCAACCATTAGGATGACCCTGCCTGATGGGGTACCTGCAGTTGTTACATTGTTGTAAGCTGACTTGTTTACTTCTGTGGGCCCTGGGAGGGGTATTGAGATAGTCACCCAGAGAAGCAGAAGCAGGAGAGAGGCAGGAGAGAGAAGGGAGAAAAGAAGCAAGAGAAGCCCAGAGTGAAGACTTGCCAGGGGCTTGGAGGCCTACTGGCCTCCTGGCCCCCTGGCACTCCTGCCTGCCATGTACCTGGTTGCTGCTCTATGTGTAACAGCTCAATAAAAGCCTGAGAAACCCACTGAAGGCTCCTAGACTCCTCCTTTACCCCGGTCTGCTGAATCATAAAGAACCTGCCCTGTGGCCATCCTGCCACTACACTTGTTTACTTGAATACAAGTTTCAAGTACAAACAAAATTTTATTAGATAACCAAAATGAGCATTTGAACCTGGGAAGCAGTACTCTGTGAGAACTGTTTCAACAAACACGTTTGCATTATAGAGTTAGGAAGTGAGTCACTGACATTAAAAATATGATTATTCTTGATGGGAGGTTTCTGGTTCTGTTATTTTTTACCTAAAGATATAGCTGCTGCTGTCCAGTGCAGAGAAAGGCAATGCAGGGACTTAAGGAAGATGCAGTGGCTGGGTGCCCCTTGTTTAATTTTCTTTATCAGCTCTTTGGTCATCAGTGGGGATTGAAAGACTAGCTTTACCCACAGGGACCAGATTTTGCAGAGCTGTTCCACAGACTGCAGGCCTATGGTTTTCCCCCTTAGCTGCCAGAGCAGGGAGGGGTTATTTCCATAATATTTTATATGGTCACATATGTAAACTACAGAAACACAATATTGTGGCAGTGAAAATAAATGTTTTATTGTTTAAGTTGGGTGAATCAAACGAGATGTTGACTGATAAAAACAAATCACAGAATTCCCAGGTTATACCAGCTTATATGTATGTGTGTATACATGTGCGTGGCTGGGTAGCTGTGTGTGTGATCAAGCTCAAAAAGAAGAAACATGAAATAATGTAGTTTAGGGATGCTTTCAACCACCATAAACTACTAAAGATGGCAAGGGGTAGAAGCCAGGAGATATAAACAAATCTCGACTCCTGGAGGAGTCACAGGTTTTTGTGACTCAACTTTAAAGCAATGCATGCTTTAAAGTTTACGTATTTGTTCAACACTGTTTTGCATGCATCAAATATTAGACTGAAAATACTTAAGACATAGCTCCACTTTCCTTACTTTCAGCCAGCTTTCTTCTCACCCGCAACATCTCTCAACTACAAGCTGCGAGGGGCACGTGGCTCCAGAGACTGTAAAAGAGGGAAAGGGTATATGCACTGGAACCCAAAACCGTGACCTGTGTTAACTAGTGTTACTTTCTTTTTGGTGTTGGCTGGTTGTGGTAGTGGCGGAAATAATATCCAATGTATCAGCTATCCAGTATGAAGCTCACTGTTTAGAGTTACTCTGCTAACTACAAGCAGAAAGGGTTTATTTTATGTTTTTACATAATTTTTCATTTTTGCACAATGTACGCATTTTCATCTTGGTTATATTCCCTATACAATTCCCACCCCACCCCCCTTTATTTTGATCCTAATTCCTCCTCCTTCCCCACCCCCGCAGTGTTTCTGGTTTATAGTTGCTTGTTGATTTGGATTTTTACTTTATAATAAAATAGGGTTTTTATGCCCACTGGGTCCTCTGAGTCTCCCATTTACACTCAAACTTGACACTTCCTGAGAGCATCAGGCCTGCGCACCGCCCTCTTGTGTCTTTCCGGGCTGTCAGGCTTTCACCAGCCTCCGTCACTCCGTTACGTAAATTCTTCCAAGAGGATCCCCCAGTTTCCACGGCCCGCCCACCCGCCCTCCGGGAGAGCCAGTCCAGCCTTCGCTTGCTCCGCGGGTTACCAGCAGCCAGACCCGGACGGGGCGTGGCCAGCGCGCGCCCCGCCCCTCCGCCCTTCCTCCCGCCCGCAGCTGAGCTCCGCCCCCGAGGTGGCTCCGCCTCCCCGCCGCGGCCCTCTCCCAAAACCCGGAGAAGTGGATTTCGGGCTCCGCTCCGCTTCGCCCCTCCGAGCCGCAGAGTAGGCCCAGAATAGGTCCGCGCCTGTGGGCAGGGAGCCGGGCCCGAGTCGGCGCGGACGCGGCCCCAGATCTGCGCGGGTGAGCGCGCCGCGCCCCGGCCGCTCGGGCCTTCTCCCGGTCAGGCCCCCCCTGCTCCGGGCCGCCGGGCGCTAGGCCGCGGCGGTCGTCGTCCCTCTCCCGCCCAGCGCCCCCAAAGGTCCCGCCCGCCTTGTTGACGCCGCGTCCCGGACCTCGGTCCGGAACCCGGCGCCCGCCAGGCCCGTCTCCTAGCAGCGCCGCGTCGCGCACACTCCCGGGGCGTGGGGCCGCAGGCGGGGGTGAGGCAGCGGCCGAGGGGAGGGTGTGGGGGGCCTCGCGGGTGGGGGCGTGGGCGAGACCCCGAGGCCGCCGCGGAGCGTTTCGCCTTTTGAGGACTTGAGTTCCGGGCGCTCCTCGGCTCGCGTGGATCCGTCCTTCCCTCCCCCTGACCCCTGGGCGTTTCCGGAGGCTTAGGGTGGTGATCCAGACCCTCAGTTGCACGTTTGTTGGAATGTTTCCGGAAAAATGGAATCTGGCAATTTATCCAGAGCATTTTAGGAAAACGTTCGTTGGTATATTTGATAGTCGCAAAATTATGTTGAAAATCTTTCCCAGTCGCTATCATTTTGCAAAAACATTTTTGGAGTAAACAGAACTGTGGTTGAGAACTTGCGCTGAGGCCAGAGTTGTGTGAGCTTGGGCAAGTCAGTCTCTCCGGGGTTGAGTTTCCTTATGTGAAAAAGGAGTCAATGATAAAATAGCACAATAAAATACATGCTTATCTGTGGATGTGGGGATGGTGGTAGTAACCTAGTTTACAAGCTTGTGAAGATTCAGTTAAGGTGAAGCACTGAGCACTGGGCTTAGAGCATAATGCACGCTCTGTGTTATTTATTGTAAGATAGCCTTGCGATTTTAATTTTAAAGATTCCAATTGTGAAGTGTTTATCAAGTCTGTGAAAATGGAATGGAAGGATTTACAACAGAATTTCTGTAATATCTGATATTTCAAAGTGCAAATAGTAAACAGAAAGTGGCTCTATGTAACAATGCTGTGTTTAACAGTATGCAGTGTTTCACTGTGTGTGTGTGTGTGTGTGTGTGTGTGTGTAAAGGATTCTGTCTTTTCACTAGAGGAAATTGAGGAATGAAAGAAAAACTTGATACTAAGTAGTGTCATGATGTCTCCTTTTATTCCTTTGAGGCCAAGCCCAGGGACATTAGGCTGACTCCGGGATAACCATAGAGTACTTTATACTTGAGCTTTATTGAGAGTAAAAGATATCTCATCATTTCCTCAACAGAATATTGAAGGATGTTCGTTCCAAGGTCTCTGAAAATCAAGAGGAATGCTAATGATGATGTCAAAATTTGTGCTGCTAAGAAAATTAAACCAGAAGCAGAAGACCTTCAGTTGGATAAAGACAGAAATGATTCAGTTGATACTTCAGGTACAAAAGAAGCTGAAACACCAGGCAGGTCCAGTGGGGAGCCTTTCCCTTTGCCCTGTCCAGCTGGCCAGTTGACCCAGGTTGGCATGGGCGCATCTGAGCAGGATACAAAGGATAGCAGTCTTTCTGAAGACCCTGTTAAGTCATTTTCCAAAACACAGCGTTGGGCAGAGCCAGGGGAGCCTGTGTGTGTCATCTGTGGTCGTTATGGAGAGTATATCTGTGATGAGACAGATGAAGATGTGTGCAGCTTGGAGTGTAAAGCAAAACATCTTCTGCAAGTTAAGGAAAAGGAAGACAAATTCAAACTTAGTAATGCTCAGAAAGCTGATTCTGAGCCAGAGTCTCCACTTAATGTTGCTTATGCCTATAAAGAACACCCCTTTATTCTGAACCTTCAGGAGGCCCAGATTGAAAATCTTAAACAGCAGCTAGGAATTGTAGTTCAAGGTCAGGATGTCTGCAGGCCCATTATTGACTTTGAGCATTGTGGTTTCCCTGAGGCCTTAAATCACAACTTGAAGAAATCAGGCTATGAAGTTCCAACCCCCATCCAAATGCAGATGATACCTGTGGGGCTTCTGGGAAGAGACATTTTGGCTAGTGCAGATACTGGCTCTGGCAAAACAGCTGCCTTTCTTCTTCCTGTTACCATCCGAGCTTTATTGGAGGTAAGTTAGAGTTCACATGTCATCTTCTCAGAAACAAGTGAGGTATTTATCAATTTCATCCTTAACTGGGTTGAAATTGCAAACTAAATATTTACAACTGTAATCACTAGTCTCCTTGTTACATGGGAGGCAGAGAATTAGAGGTTCATTCTGGCCCAAACTAGATCGGGGATTTTTTTTTTTTTTAAAGATTTATTTATTTTTATACAACAACCGGGGTAAAGGCCAGATGCACGGGAGGGTGAAAGGATTCACCGGAGACAGAGCGGGGAACAGAACAGACAGACTGATGAAATTACACTGCTGAGGGGAGCAGCAGACGAGACAGGAGAGGTCTGCTTCGCCATGTGGGATTCTTGCCTGCCGGCTGGGATCAAACCCACACTGCAGAGGCTGTGGACAGCTTCACAGTGCAGAGCTCAACCGCCTGCGCCACCAGGGAGGCCTGATCGGGGATGTTTAACATTATTTAATAAAATCACCTTGCCAGGGGGTCCCTGGCCACCATTGGCTGAACATACGCCCCACAATGAAGCATGATCCCATCATGAAACTCCACAGTGTCTGTGTAACCAGGATTCCTGACCTTCCTCTCCATCTCACCTTGTCCCATACCAGTCATCCTATAAAAAGCCTAACTCCCTCTGGCAAGGGGAGGAAGTGCTTTAGAAGCCATTGCTGTCTGCCTTCTTGTTTGATAGAAGTAATCAGAATCTTTGCCACTATATCTGACTTGGCCTGGGCAGTTTTGCTAACAACTGCCAAGCCGCTAACCTTTTTATTTGGTACTACTAACCATCTTGCTTCTGATAGCCTAATTTTAGGGAATATTTCTTTTTTATATTGAGCCAAAGAGTTCTTCATTGAAGGTCTAAAAAATTTGTTTTCCTTCTAAAATAATCTCTTTCTAACAAAATAAACTTAATTTGGGGAAACTGCAATTTTTGTGGCAGTTTATTGTTTTAAAGAAACTGATTTATACAAAAGTTGGAACACTGTTGTAGTGCTTCAGAGTAAATGCAGTGCTTAAATGTGATCCGTGGTTCATCTTAAAATAATACTGCCTTACCTTGCTTGTTAGTTTATAGCATGTAAAGTACTTAAGCACATAATTTCACAAACATTTTGAGTTAATTGCTTTTTGCCAAGTACTGCCGAACTTGTGATATATGGCAAGCAGGGAAACAAGTGAAAGAAGTGGGTAAAGGAAGGAAAGATAAAGGGAGAAGATTTGGAAAACTAAAAAGTAGAAGTAGACAATGTAAGGAAAAAAAGAAAAGAAAGCACTAGATGTTCAAAATATAGGTAAAACTCACTAGGGGACCAAAATAGAGTCGTAGAGTAGGAAATAGTATATTTATATGTAAGTCCTTTGGACAAAAAAAAAGTAAATTCTACAGGAGAGGAGAGGGAAAGAGCATGGCTAGAATGCCAAGCTTGAACCACATCTTCATGGTGATTAGTGGGTTTTTTCTTGAGAAGAAGCTTGCCTCGGTAGGTCCAGTTAACTAGGAGCAAACCTTGAGTTTTCCCACCTCTGTTACTGTGGATGAAGCTCCTTTGCCCCAGTGTCTGTGTTATGTAAGAAATGGGGGTCAAGTTACAGTTTTTGGAAAAAGAAATCTGCAGTAAGGAAGCAGTAGGGCCCCCTCCCTTGGGCTGTTGGGAACACTTAAAAGGGAAATGCACCTGGAATCATTCTGAAGATTTAGTTATATCAACAGGAATTATTTGCTGATCTTCCTAGATTTATTTTTCACATCTTTGCAGAACAAAACTCCATGTGCACTCATTCTCACACCTACACGAGAGCTAGCCATTCAGATCGAGAGACAGGCTAAAGAGTTGATGAGTGGCCTGCCACGCATGAAGACCGTGCTTCTGGTAGGGGGCTTACCCTTGCCCCCACAGCTTCATCGCCTGCGGCAGTATGTGAAGGTAAGCACCAATTTTATCCCAGGCCTTTGAAAAGTATTGTAGGAGTATAGGAACCAGGTTTTTTTCCTCTTTGAGGCACTGTTGAATGCATTTCAGGTAGCTTTTAATTTCTTGCCAAGTAAGCCTTAATTTTTTTAAGTTTGTTTTTTCTAGAAAAATAAGGGGACATCCTTTCTGGAGTTTCTGTTGTATATGCTGGACACTTTTCGATGTTATCACATGCATTATCTCATTTAATCATCACGTTTGCTCTTGGAGGTGGGTTGGCATATTCCAAATTTTGTGGTTGAGAAGTTGAATCTCAGAAAGATGGCATTTTTCTAAAGGTCCATGGCTAATACACGTGAGTGTGATTCCTAAAAACATGGATAATAGCCTACAAAACCACAGTACAATTATAAGCAGTAAATTACCATCAATACAGATAGATTAACACTATAGTCTGTTCCTCTGACCCCATTCATGTGCTTTTATTATAGTTCCATTATCCTCTGAGCACTTTCTTATTTTCTATCTAAAGATGTGCCCTGCTTACCTTGTCTTTTCCTTGCCTCAACCCTGAAACTGTGCCTTTTTCCACAGAGCCCTGATTCCTTTTGGTAGAGAATAGTATTTAGAAACCCAGGTTTGGGCTCCAGGTTGGGCTGCTTGCCATTGGTAGCTGCTGTTGGGTTATCTTGCTTCCGTATCTGCATTTATCAGAGACCATGAGTTCACGTTGATACTTCCAATTCTAATTCTGATTCAACACAGCAAGATTCACTATAGGTTTTCTGATTCTACATCTGTAACTCTTGACAGTGAGAAAACTACTCATTATCCTTTATATGTTTACCTGACCAGTCCTCCAGTGTGTAACCTGTCTCTCATGGTCACCTCAGTAGAGTCGACCCTGCATTCTCCTCAACAGCTCAGGCTAAATCAACCTGTCTAGGGCCACCTTTCTGAGGGCCTCTGCCTCACCTTGTTGCTGCTGCTACTTCTCCCCATGCCAGACTGTGTCCCTCACAGACACCGGCTGAGAACTGGTGACTGAAACATCTGTCCGCTCAGGAAAGCTGCCTTTCAAGAGCAAGGGCAAAATAAAGATGTTTTCAGATAAACAAAACTGCGAAAGTTTATTAGCAGTAGAGCATCTAAAGGGATTTCTGAAGTAAAATATTCTACAGATAAAGATGATACTAAAATGTGGAAAAGAAATAATGGTGAGGAAAGAAAATGGTTAACATGGGTAAATGTAAACGATTAGAATAAACAGCAGTAATCATAAACAGTTTGTAAAAATAGAAGAAAAATGGGGATGTAATATACTGCTTGGGGACTATCTTTAATATATAGTGTATATTTGAAAGTTGTTAAGAAAGTAGATGTTAAAAATTCTCATCACAGGGGAAAAATGTGACTTTGTGGTGATGAATGTGAACTGTGCTTATCCTGGTGATCATATATATGCATATATCAACACATTATTTCATACATCAAAAACTGATAATGTGTCCAGTACAACTCAAAAAATAAAAAATAGAGGTAAATACTGGCCAACAGTAGCATGTAAGTGTGTGGGAAAAGACTGTTTTCCCTTGATTATCCAAGAAAAAGATAAAAATGTCAATTAACTTTAGACTTCATTAAGCTATATATCCTTGTTAAAACTCAAGATGAAGCACCAAAAGAATGGAAAAAAAAAAGTTTATGATTTCCAAACCAGTGTGTGTGTGTTGGGGGGGGGGGGTTGTTAAAGGAAAAAAACGGGGTGAGCTTAATCCAAAATAACTAAAATTTTAATATTTGTGTTATTTCTAAAAAACCTAGCAGAACCCTATAGTTCCGTACAACTATATTATAAGAGCCTCATAACCCAGAACTGTTATCATTTTCAGTGATTTTACCATTGTGTTGGTGTATACTTGAAAAGTAGAACACAGTTGATTAGATCGTTTGTAGTTCTATATTTTATCCAGGGACTGTCGCGTTTAGTCCTCACAATGATCATTTTATCATTTCCATTTTATGGAAGAGAGAACAGAGACTCATACTATTATTAAATGCTAGAGCTGAGATACCTGCTGAGTTTGTCTGATTAAAGAGGCCCTACTTTTAGTCATCACTTTATCTTATGTATTATAAAACTGTTAAAAGCCTTAATCAACTGTAGAAATCAACCTGTTAATTTAAAGATGCTTTAGCAGGCCCAAAGAGGTTATGGAACTTGGTTTTGCCCGCAGAGCCAAATAGAGGTCACACTTCCTGCGCTGGCCCCTGCTTTGGGACATTCTCCCCACCCTTCCCACTCAGGGGCCTCTCGACCTTAGAGTGTTCTTGGACGCCCCTTTTCTCTGTCTGGACTCTCCTTGCCTTGCTTCCTCCCACTACTCCTTTAGTTTAGTGCATGTGTTAGCTGGCACTGGATCCACCCTCCATTTACTGCACGCTATACTGATCTTAGAGCATTCATTTGTTTTATCCATTTCTTCCTTTGTATTAAGTTTCATGAGAGCCAAGATTGTGTCTGATTCATTCATCAGAATTCAATAACTTATGTGTCTGACACATACTAGCCATTCAATAAGTGTAGAATGAATGAATAGAGGAGTGAATATTATCTGACTTTTTTATTTGCTTTTTCTCTTTTATCCAGGTTATCATAGCAACTCCTGGGCGAATTCTGGATATATTAAAACAGAACTCTGTAGAACTCTGCAATATAAAAATCGTAGTAGTAGATGAAGTAAGTAGTGTGTTTAGAACCATTAGTCACACATAACTTTATATAATTTATGACAAATATATTCTAAAGTTACATAACTTCATTGTGTATTTAGGTATTTTTACCCACAAAGGGAAGAAAAATTCAGAGGTTTTTTTCATTGCCGTGGTGGTTCTTAAGCTGGTTCCTGTAGAGATAGTAGCTAAAGTAAGGTATTGCATGCTAAAATTAAACCATAGCTATCTCTTCCTCGTGATAAAAAACATAAATTCAACTATATCCTCATTGATAAGTTTTCTAAACATTGATGCTCATTATCATTTGTCCACAAAATGAATCAGTGGCAAATAATAATTAACAAGGACTTTTGGGAGTAACTGAATAATGTTTAGTTGAATCACCTTTTAAATTTTTTTCTGCATAGACTTAGGGATCTGTGGTTGTAGTTTTCTGTGTTCTATAGAGAGAATGGGCATTTTTATACTTTTGCTTGCTTAGTGAGCTGAAATAAACATTTTATTAACAGGTGAGCGTCCACTGTCTGAGCAGCAGGAGAACACAAGGCTGTGTCCAGCCCAGATAGGCATGCTCAACTGCCTTCATATTGTCGCTTTGGCAGTGACAGAGCAGAGGCCTGTGTTACAGCGAGCTAGGTGATGGCCAGCCAGGGCCAGTGAGTCCCAAGGAGGGTGCGGTGGCGGGGAGGTAACAGGGTGAGGGAAGAACTCAGAGCGAGGATCCACAGGACTAGGGCTTGAGCCTTTATTTCATCTACCCTGACACCTCAGGCAAGTCATTAAAATTTGCAGATTTGTGGGAGGATGAAGCAATGACTATGAAAATGTCTAAGAGACCAAAAAGTCCTACTTAGATGTCAAATATTATTCAGCCTTTCAAAAGTGCTGCTAAGTCAGCCTTTTCCTGGCAGGACATTTGGTGGAACTGATGAATCTCATGTTCATGATCCCACTGGCTGCCACCTGGACGTAGGCTGGCCGTCCCTTTCTTGGTAAATCCTTCTTCAGTTCTCATCTAATGCTCCTGAGAAGGAACCCATGTGCGAAAGTTGGGATCCACTCATCCTTGCTTCTCTTCACAGTGTTTTCATTTTCTTACATAAACAAGGCTCACGGGCACCCCAGTGCTTAGTGTAATGGTGGAGGAGCTGTGTTTGCTTGGCAGCATGTGTGGGGAGCCTGTTATTCTCAGTCTCTGTCCCGTTCCTGGTGTTTAAGAATATGGTCTCTGGGTGGTGTAGAGGTGAGATGAGCTGGTAAACAATATAGTGGGTCAGGTACTGATACAGGTCAGTGCCCAGGTGCTACTAGGTACAGATTGGCCAACTCTGGGTAAGTCTGGATGGCACCACCTTGAAGCTTTAAATGCCATTTAGGTCTACAAAGTGCTGAAATCTTATTGGAGAAAAAGACAAATATTTGAAACAAAGGCAAGGACATTATCCTATAGACTTAAATACAAAAGACTAAATGATGTAGACCAGGGATTGACAAAGTCTTTCTATAAAGAACCTGAGAGTAAATATTTTAGGCTTTTGGGGCTAATGTCCTCGGTGGCAGCTACTCAGTACAACCATAGGCAGTGTGTAAATGGGTGGGTGTGACTGTGTCCTATAAAACAATCTATAAAAACAAGCAAAGGTATGAATTTGTCCCATGAGCCATTGTTAGCCACCCCCTGATATAGCTGTTAGTGAAATTACACGACTATGTATGATATGCTAATTGTTCAGGACATGTGAGGTCAGAAGGACAAATGAGAGAGTATGTGAATGGGGACTGTAGCAAATGGCTTCTCAGAGGTAATGGCGTGTGATCTGGGTCTCCACAGATGGAAACGGACTTAGAAAACTAGAGACTGCATCCAACATTCCAGGTGAAGACAATGACAGGAGCAGAGCCAGACAGTCGAAGCACATGGGCTAAGGGGCAGAGGAGACCGGCCAGCCTGGAAGAGTTCTTCCCGAGGAGTAATAGGAAGTAGAATTGAGTAGCTAGGGTGGGGTCAAATTACAGAGGGCCTTGAAAGGACAGCAGAAGTTGGATTTGATGTGGGAATCTGTGCGGCTTCGTAAATTATTGAGTTGGGGTGTAACATGTTGAAAGTGGTGGTTTAGGTAGTCACTCTGCTGTGCCGTTCAAGAGAAATTAAAGATAAAAGATTCTGTGAGACAAGAGCCAGCCACCCAGACTAGAGGTGAGGAGGGGCAGGGGCAGGGTAGGAGCCAAGCAGGGTCATGTCTTCAAGTCACTGTAAAGAAGTCATTTGTGGGTCCTCTGATGGATGAAGATGAGAGGGAGAGGAGGCTGTAGGGCTGGCTCCATAAATTAGGATGGTGCTTTTGGCTTCAGGAAAGAACAAGTGGGTAAGGGCTGGGACTACGCAATAATATTTGCATTTGGTTTTAGAGATACTGGATTTTGTGTGAATGATGGGCAAGGAGAAGTACTCTGTAGACACAGGAAACGTGCACTGGAGTCAATGACGTGTACTAGCGCTTGTAAGAGAGGAGGGTTAGTGAGAGATGAGGACTAGCCTGAGGGTCTGGTTTGTGGAATTTGACATGAGTCAGTCAAGGGAGAAGTAGCCTGGGAGATCAGGAAGGAACTGAGATTAATAATATCCCTGAGGAAGAGAGCCGCTGATTCCAGGGGAGGCAAGGACGCAAGAATCCTCAGGCATGGAAACTGAGAAGTTCCTGTAGAATCAGAAAAATCTTCTCTGCCCCCCTTCTGTCTCCTCTGTGCTTGTCCTTTGGCCCAGTGATTGTTCCCTCCCCATCTACCTGCTCGTCCTTCTTTACATGTCTGTGATTCTGACAGGATTCTTCCCTCACACCCCCAGGCAGGTTTAGGACTTCTTTGCTCTGATGTGTTGACCTACGAGCAGACTCCCTATTTACATCCTGGTCCCTACTCTCCCCCAATGGCAAGTGCAGTGTTGCCCGAGTTGCTCTAATGTGAAGAATCACCTGCATGCTTAGTGACTGTAATGGCAGCCCAGATCTCACACTTGGATATTCTGACTCAACAGGTCTGAGTTAGAGTCTGGGAATCTTTAAAAACTCATGCTTATCTTTAGGAAGATTTTGGTTAGCAAGCTGTCTGACATCAGTAAGCTCTTATTCAGTGCTTAGAACATGAATGCTTATCTATCAAATACATGTCTTATCTTCTTGGTTTTGAGGATGCAATGGAAAGAGAGATGACCTGTAATATACCTGTGAATACAGGGTCACATGCCAGAGACAACCAGTGGTTTGCCTTAGATTTAGCCAGGGGTGGGGGAAGTATCTCTGAGGTGATTTCATGCTGAGCTCTCATTGAGAAGGAGCCAGCCCTGTGAAGGTCCATCTGAAGGGGAGATTATTTCAGACAGAACTGTCAGTGCGCAGCTAATGTGGGAACAAGCGTGGGGCAGTGGGGACCGAAAGAAGGTTAGTGTGGCAGGGTCCAGGAGAATGAGAGAGAGACAGTGGTAGATGGGGTCAGGGAAGTGGATGAGGATGAGAATATAGCTCTTTCAGGCCACAGTTAAGAGTTGGGTTTTATTCAAGTGTGATAGGAAGTCATTGGCAGGTTTAAGCAGGGCAGTAACAATATCTAATTTATGTTCTAGAAGAATCTGGTTGACTGAGAAAAATGGATCCTGAGGTAGGAGTGTCAAGAGTGGGAGTATCCTCAGTGCAAACTGAGAGAAATGACTGGGTCTGGGGTGTGTTAGTAGTGTCAACAGGACTGATAGTGGATTATATGTGGGGTGAAACAGGTTTTTGATGATGCCATTCCAAACGTGGGTCCTGAAATAAGAGTGGGCTTGCCGTTGAGAAAGTGGAAATTTCTGTTTTAAAAAGGTTAAATTTGAGGGTCTTTTTAGATCCAAGTGGGCATGTTAAGTTGGCAGTTGGGTTCTGCCACTCAAGTTCAGGAAAGAAGTTATAGCCAGAGATAAGATTTTGGGGGGTCTTTGATGCATTCAAGGAATTTGGTCACAGAACCTGGGGAGAGAGCATAGATGAGGGCGAAGAGGGGCCTAGGGCACAGTCCCTGGGGCTCACCACCATGTCGGATTCTTCTGAAGATTATGGAGTTTGAAAAGGAGTAGCCAGTGAGGGAGGAGAAAATTTTTGAGAGAAGAAAGACCAGTGTATTTGAAAATCAAGAGAGCCTTAAAAAGCAAAAAAAAGATAGCCTTGCTCTTTCCTAATTTTAAAGCAGCACTAATTTTAAAAAAAATTTCTCTTTGCTTTGTAGTACATTCATTGTTTTTAAAAACTAACAAAAGCAGAAGTACACACAGAAATGAAAGCCCCAGCATTAAATTTCTTATTTAAAATATTTTGTAAGTATTTCCATAATAAAAATTTAAACTTTGCATACTTTGAAAACTGAAATTGCCCCCTCCTCATACAGCTTGAAAATCACCCCAGAGTTAGCAATTATGTTTCTTGAATGTATACTCCAGTTCAACCTTTGTCTACATAGTATTCTGTACTTTGCTTTTTGCTCCTAATAGTGATTCATTATTATTTAATAAAGGATTTTCTGGTAATTTTTCATGACAACATAGTGTTATGTTGTGTTTATCATAATTTATTTATCACATGCCCTATTTGTGGATATTGAGGATATGTATGTTAGGTTTTTGTTTTTTTTTTTAATAGAGGCATGTTTTATTTATTTATTTTGTTTGTTTGTTTGTTTGTTTGTTTGTGTATACGTGCACTGGGTACAGTCAGAAGCGCAGGAGGTTGAGAGAATTCACCAGAGCCAGAGCGGGGAGCAGAGCAGTATGTTAGGTTTTTTTGCCACGATTAATAATGCCATAATAAGAAGTTTTGTCATTGTAGACAAGGTGGTTATATGGCATATAATTTTATATAAACACGTGTTAATATAAAGTTGATCTTTTGTCTTTTGACATTGTGGTACTTTTTTCTGCATAGAAGTTTTTATTTTTTATATTAATTCTGTCAGTCCCGTTGGTCTTAATGTCAAGTGGGGCTAACTTTTAAATGATTTTACTTTAGGCTGATACCATGTTAAAGATGGGCTTTCAACAGCAAGTACTTGACATTTTGGAAAACGTTCCTAGTGATTGTCAGACCATATTGGTCTCAGCTACAATTCCAAGTAGCATGGAGCAACTAGCTAACCGGCTTCTGCATAATCCCGTGAGAATTATCACTGGAGAAAAGAACTTGCCATGTCCCAATGTGCGTCAGATTATTTTGTGGGTAGAAGAACCAGCCAAAAAGAAGAAGTTATTTGAAATCTTAAATGTGAGTAGTAAGCACTCCATCCTTCTGTAGGTTATTCTCATATTTTTCACAATTCTTAAGAGAATGATTTTTAGATGTAGTTTTTGGGGAATTTGGTGTAGGTATGTAATAAAATACCATAATTATTCAAGGACTTTTTTTTGTTTGTTTGACAGCATTTTAGTAGTGTTACATAGAAGGTGAAGACTAGTTTTTTCTTGGCTATTTTTTCTTTGAGAAGTAGAATTTTTTAGTAGTTACTAGCTGAACCAGAAATTTGTGGAGTGAGTGATATGGGCAGGCAGTTACTTAAAAATATACTTATTAAGTAATGTTAACTTAAATGTAGTTTGTATTAACTTATGAATAATTAAAATTACACATAAACTTTAGTATTATTTTTGTAGTATTAATGAAGTGATGGAGAAATGTGATGGACAGTAGATTATTTGGCTTCTGTTTGTACATATTTTAAAGAAAACACTTATTTTAACAGAATAGGCTTTTTTCACCCCCTCCTTAACAATGCTTATAAGCCTATGGATAACTAATTTGTACAGATGCTTTCAGAAAAACTTTCCAACATAAATTATGTTATATGAATAATTTCACATATATCTTTTCTATTTTTCAGGATAAGAAACTCTTCAAGCCTCCAGTGTTAGTATTTGTGGACTGCAAACTAGGTGCAGATCTGTTGAGTGAAGCTGTTCAGAAAATCACAGGCCTGAAAAGCGTATCTATACATTCAGACAAGTCCCAAATGGAGAGGAAAAACATCTTGAAGGTTTGACTCTCAGTGTTCTCTTTCCTGCCTATAAATCTGTTTTGCCTCATTTTCAAAAGACACCATGTTTGTTTTGTTTTTTTTTTTTAAATAATAAATTTTATTTTTATATTCCCCATACAATTGCAACCCCCCATTCTGACCCCAATCCCTCCCCTCCCGCCCCCGCCCCCTAAAAGTGTCTCTGGTTCATAGTTTTTTGTTGATTTTGATTTTCACTTTCTTATAGTTATTCATTTTCCTGGTCCCTTATTTAAGTTTTCTAGATTCCTGCTATGAGTGAGACCATCCGGTATTTTTCTTTTTCTTTTTGGCTTATTTCGCTGAGCATGATCCCTTCCAGCGCCATCCATGTTGCTGCAAATTGCATGTGTTTATCTTTTTTGAATGCTGAGTAATATTCCATGGTATATATGTACTACATCTTCTTGATCCAGTCATCTATTTTTGGGCATTTGGGTTGTTTCCAAAGCTTAGCTATTGTAAACAGTGCTGCTATAAACATAGGGGTGCAGGTGTTCTTTGGAATTGATGTTTCTGAAGACACCATGTTTTTAAAGCTGTCTTTTTTTTGTAATGTCTGTAAGAACTTCAGGAAAACAGTGAGTATGAAGTTGTTGCTGCTGCTCACGGGCTTCTATGTTTTGGGAGCAATAACCTCTTCTCTAGGGATTATATACTAAATAGATTACTAATTCCGAGCCCACCATTTTGGAAATCAGGTCACTGTGGCCTGGGACAGCAGTCGTTCACCTTTGGAGAGAGGTGCCTGAGTAAATTAATAGAAACAGTTCTCGGGGGGCTGTAGGAACTTATGCTTACCCACTTCTAAGCTCTTCTGAGACCTTTACTTGTTGAAAAGATTCTGCAACAACAACATTGAAGGGAAAAAAAAGAAAAGATATCTGAATTATCTAAAATCACATAAGATATATTCTAAACATTGAATCGTGTTGCTGTTTTGGAAAGGGATTACTGGACGGAGACTATGAGGTGGTGGTGAGCACAGGAGTCCTGGGCAGAGGCCTGGACCTCATCAGTGTCAAGCTGGTGGTCAATTTCGATATGCCTTCAAGTATGGATGAATATGTGCATCAGGTAAAGTGGTTTTGTGTGTTACCACCATTTTATTCTTGAATTTTCTTGGGCAAGGCATTGTCAATATAATGTTAAGTTATAATGGATATAAACTTTATGTATTTTTGCTTCTAAAGTAAATAAACTAAAAAACTTTATGCCTAAAGTGCATTAAATCTAATTGGAAATAACAACCTAAAATGTTAGTTTAAAACAGTTTTAAGTAGTTGGGTTTTGGTTTATTTTTATTTCTTTATAGTTTTTCTCCAGGGACCATATTAATGCCTTTTATAATTTAAAAAAGAGGGAGGGCTTTGTTTTAAAAGATTGCTATATCTGGCCAGAATAAAATTGATCCGTTAAAGTATTTGGTTTTTTTAGGAATCTTGTCTTCATCTCCTCTCCCATATCCTTATTTGTTCTAGTCTTTCACCTTTTAAAGTTTTGTTCCTTTTCTTTGCTGCCAGAGATAACAGCAGCTCTGTTTCTAGCAGAAATAGAGAGAGCTTTCTCTTAATGCCGCCTTATCTTCCCTACTGCTACCTGTCTTCCTACTCTGGCATCATTTACACACTCTTGAAGTACAGCTTTTCTGTAATGTTCTTCACATCACCTCTGAATGCCACGTTTACTCAGATCATTCACTGAAGCTCTTTTAGTGCCTTTCGTGCATTGTTACCTCTTTTTTCTCTCTTTTTTGGTACCACCTGTGTGTCAGAGCTGAGTATTCCACAGTTAATTGTTCATTCAAATAACTGAAGTGTATTTTTATAAAACTATTAATTTAATATTTCTGGATGGAAACTTTCTAAAATATTAAGACCCTTAAGCCTCTTGCTTCTTAAATAGAGTATATTGATTATAATTATTTAGCCTTTTCTGGCTGTGCTATGGTCAGCCCTTTGGCTCCCAGTTATTCACAGTGCACAGTGCTCTAATGCGTCCAGGGCCTCAGGGCTTGGCCAGTGTATAATTTCTTACCAATATTTAGAATGGCCCTAGAGCCTTCTGCTTTTCTAGGTCAGTATCTGGGTGTGTTTTGTTTCAGTAATCAAAGTATACACACCCTCAATAACAATTAATGCAAATAACAAAAGATATACAGTGAAAAGTCTTCTTCATAAGGTAGCCCCCTACCTCTCATTGCTCCCCACCGTTCATAGTATAGAAGCACTGCGTGCTTCTGTCACACTTCTCACATAAAGGGGCCATACTGTACTAACCAGACTTTGCCTTGGGTTTTTAAATTAAATGTATCTTAGACATATTTCCTATGAGCGCACATAATAGTTAATATTTAATAAGTGTTAGTGTATACTAAGGACTTACTATACAACCAAACACTGTTACAAGCTTTTTAAACTTTTTAATGTGGCTTGTTGTAGATTAGTGACTAAATAAGAATGGATTACATGTAAGTACTATAATTATTTAACAAATCCTTAACTGTGGTCAGTGTTTCCATATTATTAAATAATGCTGAGTGAACAGCATTAATTCTTGGGTCTTATGAAGGTATAGCTAGAGATAAACTCTGAGCAGGGCAACTTTCAGGTTAAAGGGTATTATATATTTACATTCTTGATAGGTGTTTCCTTGTGTCTGCTTTTTAATTGTAGGAGGTAGAATGCTTCTGTGAAAATAATTTGATATTTGTTAGCATCAGCTATCTTTTAGAGTTTGGAGATTATTATAGTTATTTTTTAACAGCTTTTTGTTTCAGTATGAAACACCTCTGTATATGTCTCAGTAGATATGTCACATGCTATGCCTTCATCACCTCAAATTGTATATAATTCGGTGGTTTTCAGTATATTAATAGAATTGTACAACCATTACTACAATCAATTTTAGAAAATTTCCATCACCTGAAAAGAATCCCCATACCTCTCTCTCTCTCTCTCTCTCTCTCTCTCTCTCTCTCTTTCACACACACACACACACACACACACACACACACACACTCTCACACTCAACTTTAGGAAAAAACACCTTCTATCTCTATAATAGGAGTTTATCTTTTCTGGATAAATGGGATCCATGAATTACACTTCATGTAACTGGGATCATTCAGTGTGTGGTCTTTTGGGACTGGCTTCTTCCACTTAGCATGATATTTTCAAACTTCACCCATATTGTAGCCTCTATCAGCATGTCATTGTTAAAAGGACAGACAATACTTCATTGTAAGGATGTACCTCTTTTGTTTTATCCATTGATTAGTTGCTGGGCATTTACGTTATTTCTACTTTTTGGCTATTACAAGTAGTACTGCTGTGAACATTCATTTACAGGTATTTGTAAAGACATGTTTTCATTTCTACTGGGAATACATCTAGGAATAGAATTTCTGGGCCACATGGTAACTCTATATTCAACTTTTTGAGGAGCCACCAGACTATTTTCCAATGTGATTTCACTATTTTACATTCCCAGCGATACATGAGGGCTCCAGTATCTCATCTCCATATCAACATTTTCATGATCTGTCTTTTCTATTACAGCCATGTCAGTGGGTGTGTGTTATCGCTCCTTGTGTTTTTGGTTTGTGTTTCTCTAGTGACTAGGAACATCAGCATTGTGTCACATACTTACTGGCCATTTGTGTATCTTTCTTGGAGAATGTCTTTTTAAATTCTTTGCCCATTTTTTAATTCAGTTGACTTTTTATTACTGAGTTGTAAAAGTTCTTTAGTCTAGAAGAAATTTACTCTACATAATATCTACAAATCTTTTTCCCATTCAGTGAGTTACAGCTAATTTTTATACTAATTTTTAGTTTTGCTGGAATAATTTAATAACATAAGCAGGTTTTTAAAAGCTGATACTGAAAAACAGCATTCCCTTCCCTCATTTCTCCCCAGTCTCAATGTCAGAGGCCACCCCTTTCAACTCTTCTTTTTCAATATTTAAAATTTCCTATATCTTGGCAGGAATCAGGTGTTTTGCTAAGTACAGGCTTTAAATTCTCTTTTTCAATTGAGGAGCAGAAATTGGCCTTGACTGGGTCTTCCCCTCCTCTTCTGAAGCTTTTCTCAGTAGATTTCAATACAAGTAAATTTTGCTCCTGATCATGGGTCTCCATCACAAATTTGTGTCCATTTAATTCAATCAAAATGAGAAATAACTTTACAAAGATTTGCTTAAGTCTTATATTTCCAGGCACTTATATACCCTAAATCAAATAGTCCTCTGCTCTTAATGTAATGACTTTCCAAAAGTTTTTACCTTAACCCGCTCACAATAAGAAACATCTTTATGTCATTTGCCCCCCTCAGCACACATGCATGTACACACATGTATCTGAAACATAAGTTTCATAGAAAATGCATTATATTTGGTCACTTTCTTATTTTCTGTTTCGGCTGTCTTATTAAAAATATGCTGGTGGCAGCTTAGTAAGTTGATTTCACATATTTATTGATATGTACAATTAAAAAAAGTACCTGAATGAATGTTCATCTTAGTAAAGCCTCTGTAAATATTAGTCTTCATTCCCTGTTAAGTGACATTAAGATTCTCTTTGAACAGTTTTAAATGTCCTCTGCATTTCATTTCAGGTTGGAAGAGTGGGGAGATTAGGTCAAAATGGAACTTCAATTACTTTGATCAATAACAGTTCAAAAAGACTCTTCTGGGACATTGCAAAAAGGGTAAAACCCACTGGATCCATTCTTCCCCCACAGTTATTAAATTCCCCTTACCTTCATGACCAGAAGAGAAAGGAACAGCAGAAAGACAAACAGGCACAGAACAATCTGGTAACGGGATCTAATCTTATGGACATTATTAGAAAACATGATAAGAGTAATTCTCAAAAATGATTTGTTACATCATTTTGAATATATTTTTGTGTATAATCATAGAAATTTCTGTATATTATTACTGTAAAATTTGAATAAATGGGACATGTAAGTGAAGCAGAACTTTACATATGATTTTCTAATGTAATAGAATCTCAAATTTATACAGCAGTGTTGTATTTATTTTCCTTTTTTACTCATAAATTAAATGACCTCAGTAAGTGAATTTTTAATAAAATATATTTCTCCTTGATAAGGCTTTATTTTTAAAAAATAAATATTCCTGAAAGTTACTTTCAGAGCCAGAAAGTTCCACAGCAAGGAGTCTGACCAAGCATGGCAATCCCTTCATGCAGTGCCCACTGGTGCCATCACTCTGGCACCTCAATTATTGTTGGGTGAATGAAAGCTGGTTAGGAGGAAAGTAAATGATAGAAGCTGGAAGAAATGGCCAGTGCTACTTTTTTTTTTTTTTTTAAAGATTTATCCATTTATTTTATACAAGAACCGGGGTACATACAGGCCAGATGCACGGGAGGGTGAGAGGATTCACCAGAGACAGAGCAGGGAGCAGAACCGGCAGACTGACGAAAAACACTGATGAGGGGAGCAGCGGGTGAGACAGAAGTGGTCTGCCATACCATGTGGGACCCTTGCCGGCTGGCCAGCCGGGATCGAATCAGTGCTTCAGAGGCTGCGGACAGCTTCACAGTGCGGTGCTCAACTGCCTGCGCCACCAGGGGAGGCCCACCGGTGCTACTTTTAAGAGATAAATATGAGATATGTATCTATATTTTTAGTTGTTTTCCCTTTAATTTGATAAACTTAAATTGCTTTTATATTTGACATGGGCTCCTTGCCAAATTAATGTCATTATGTTAATATTGCTTTGCAATTGATGTCACTTTGCTAATTCAGTTGATAATTTTAAATACTGCAAGAAAGGATAGATGTCTTGCTTTGAGACATCAACACTTCCATTTCTTTAAAAAAAGAAACTGGTAAGTATCAGCTTAGTTGGGGAATTTAGGTAGTCAGTGTATCATATCATGAAAATGTTGACTCTTGAAGATCTCGGCGTCATCCCCCCGAGGGGTGTGGGAGAGATTTAGGGAACTGGGTCCCTCTGTAGGTAGTTTCTTAGTGTTGTCTCCACCCAAATAAAAGCATGGGGTCTGAGTATCCCCCGTGAGAGCCTGAGGACCCAGGCTTTCACTGTTTCTGTTTGTCTGCTCTCAAGTGATGTATGTCCAATTTCAAGTGACAGCATGAGGCTATTAAGGTGCTTTGAGAGGCTAGTAGATACAGTAATAATTACTAGAGAAGTTAGGCAGCTTTTCACTAGGCTCAAATTTCTTTGTGAATCTAAAGAAGAAATACTACTGGGCTATTGTATGACCTCATTGGTCAGCTTAATTTGCTGACAGTCCGACTTCTGTTCCCACCATTGTGTTCATGCTGAGCCTTTAGTTGTCTTGTTCACTGTCTTACAACTGCATCTTCTGCCTGTTCTTATTTTTAACTTTTTTTTTTTTTTTGCATTGGGCATTGCTGACCACCCTCTCAAAACTTTCTCTTCTTAATGCAGCAGATGAGTGAGATATTGGGGGTGGGAGGAGGAGGTCCTAACTCATAGGCTCATTATGGGTTAAATGTAATTGCATGTTAAAGCATGGGGAGGGTAGAAGGCAGCTTCGAGTCCTCCCTCTTACTTTACTCACTATCCAACCTTACTAGATCTGCTGACTTTTCTAAATCTCACTAGCTTTCTGCTCATGGCTTAGAATCTTTCCCTTGGTGAGCTCTTCCTCCTCATCTCTTTCTCTGTGGCTGGGGGACTGCCAAGCAGTGGTTTTATCACTTGTGGTTCACAAACCAGAGCTTTGTAAACTTTTTTTTTTAATTGGTCCCAGTGTTGTTAATATTTTTTCCCAATTAAGTGTTATTTTTAAAAACCTGCCATCTATTATTTCATGAAAGAATGAGCATAGAAGCAAGAAGCATAGAGCAAGAAGGAAGGACATAGAGCAACAAAAAGGGCAAGTTCTTCCCAAAAGAGGATAGTGGCAGCCACATACAGGTAGACTGTATTATTATCGAAATAATACACTTTAGTGAAAAATAATGCAATTTGAAATTTTAATTACCTTAAATAACCGATCACCAAAAAAATAAAATGTAACATTTACTCTTACAAAAAAAAAAATAACAAATCACATACACTCTCAGATATTTGTTTCATTCTTCCAGTGATTGCATTAGATGAAAAGGTACTGACTTAACTTAATTGCTTTTTCATCAGATTGAGGCAAATATCTTTCATGTGTCACTTTCCTGCCGTGTTATAAGTACAATATGCAGTGACACTTTCTCAGATACTCTCACTGCCATTCTGTCAGTACTTCTAATACCAACACATTTTTTAAATTATTGTTTTTTCAAAAGACCAAAAGTTTTTTTGTGTGTGTGTGGTTTTATAATATCTTTACAAAGAACATTGCCACATATTTAAACTGACTCAGGGCATCCCCAGTGGCGCAGCAGATTGAGCGCTGTGCTGTGAAGTTGTCTGTAGCCTCTGCAGCGCAGGTTCAATTACCAGATGGCTAGGGAGATTCCCACATGGTGGGGCAGACCTCTCCCGTCTCGCCCACTGCCCCCCTCAGCAGTGTATTTCAGTCAGTCTGCCTGTTTTGCTCCCAGCTCTGTCTCTAGTGAGTCCTCTCACCCACCCATGCCTCTGGCCTGTACCCCAGCTCTTGTATGCATAAATAAATATATCTAAAAAAAATAAACTGACTCAAATTGATTAGCAAACCTAACTGGATCCATGAACTGTCATATTTTCTGCTCTACTAAGCTATTTTCTTTTGACAGGCTGATTATTATTCAGGTTGAGTCCTTGTATGGAATTAACACCCACATACCTCGCACTGCCTTGTTATGTTCTACTCACCATAATGCAAACAAAGCTTGAGCCACTTGTAGGAAGGTATATAGGAGGTGACATGTCATTTGAGATGACTTTCCTGGCAGCTGCAAGTAAACCAACTCTGGCCAAATAGGACCCTTGTCTCCATGGCACACTTTGAGTGGCCCAAGATCCTTAGGGCTTCCATGTGTAAAACAGCTAGTGATAGGGCCTCCCTGGTGGCGCAGCGGTTGAGCGCTGGGTTGCGAAGCTGCCCGCGGCCTCTGCGGCGCCGGTTCGATCCCCGGCTGCTTCCCGGCCACCGGAGGAGGGTCCCACATGGCGCGCAGACCTCTCCTGCCGCCCGCTGCTCCCCTCAGCAGTGTGCTTCGGTCCTTCTGCCTGTTCTGCTCTCCGCTCTGGCTCTGGTGAATTCTCTCACCCTCCCGTGCTTCTGACTGTACCCAGTGCTTGTATGCATATATGTATAAATCAATCAATCAATAAATAAATAAATCTTAAAAAAAAAAAAACAAAAAAAACAGCTAGTGATAATTAAGTCAACACAGTTCTCTTTTCTTCCTGTTAATGGGAGGACCTGCTTTATAGTTAGTTTATAGTTGATGGCATGTGTGGGGTTATTTGAAAGAATTACAAAACAAGTAAACAAAAGAATGTTTACTGCAAAAATGCATTTACAACTAGTTTTAAGATGTTTACAAACTACTTTTAAAATTGAACCTTAGCTTTCTGAAAAATTTTGCAAGGCTGTTTGCAAATAACTGGATTCCTATTACAGCACTGCTGTTTTTGTCTTAATTAGGACAAATTCTTGACTATCTCTCATCTTGCACTTTGCTCATCTGTGAGATGCGCAGGTTTGCTTTTAAGCTTCTCTGAGGTCTTCCAAGTCTACATTTTCTGTGTTTCATACTTGTACATGGTTGGAATTTGCTTCTGAACAGGGCGCTGAGTCTGGATGAAACAAGCTTAGCCTGGAGTTGATTGTTATTGAAGCCAGGTAACAGGTATTTGGAAGTTCATTACTGTTTGGTCTACATTTGATATATTTGAAATATGCCATAAAAGAAACTGTTACATGTATGTATGATCTCCTATCACTTTCTATCACCTCCTATCCTCTCAACTTCCCAATGAACTTTTTTTTTTTCTGAAGATTTATTCATTTATTTATACAAGCACTGGGTACAGTCAGAAGCGAGAATTCACCAGAGTCAGAGCGGGGAGCAGAACAGGCAGAGGGACCGAAGTACACTGCTGAGGGGAGCAGTGGGCGGCAGGAGAAGTCTGCGCGCCATGTGGGACCCTCCTCCGGTGGCCGGGGATTGAGCAGCCGGTGATTGAACCGGCACTGCAGAGGCTGCGGGCAGCTTCGCAACCCAGCGCTCAACCACTGTGCCACTGGGGAGGCCCCCCCATTGAACTTTTTGGCTCATGTTCGGCCTGTCTCAGCCTAAATTTACCATCTTCCTCACAGGAAGTCTATTTTCCTCTTTGGAATTCCCTGTTGCATGTGGTGCTGCCCTCCGGGAGTCAAGTTCAAAACTGTAGTGTCACTGACTCCTTTCTCTCCCTGTTTTCCATATTTGCTTAGTCACTAAGTTCTATCTATTTTCTTTCAAAATGTTCCTATTTTGTGCTACTCTGACAATCCCAGGATGCCATCACCTCAAATCTAAGTGACTGGCTGTTCTAATTCTAGGACCCCAGTCGCTAACCACACCTCCGATTCAAAGCAGAATATTTTCACAGTATGGTTTTACTTCTCTGCTGTTTCCTTCTCTGGCTGGTGCCTGGATCCCTCCTTGATCTGAGTCCACTTTATGGCTTTCTTCCCTGCTCACCATGTGCCACGCTTTCTCTACAAACAAGAACAGTCTGTAACACCCCTGCTAGAAGGATAAACAGTTGCTGAGAACCCAGTGGCCACATTCACAATTCTAGCAATTAACTGCTGGTTGTCAGAGCTGATGTCACTGACGAGCTCTCCATCTTCCAGCACATCTAAGGAAAGCAAAGAATCTGCTAATGATAGGGCAATTTTAATTGGGGGGGCGGGTGGAGGGAGGAATGTTTCAAGCATTTACTCTGAATCCTGACACTTTCATTGGAATTATAAGGAACCAGAAATACTGGAAGTTAGGACTGAATAGTAAAGTGAATTCTGAAATTAGGGCAGCATTTTAAATGTGTAAGTTAGGCAACTGAGTGCATATAATTAAATGTCCTATGGAGAAAGAAAATTAGGACATTTGTTAACAATTATAATTTTTGAGACGTTTCACCAAATTAGCATTTTATAAATTTTGTAAATGCAAAACGTAAAAGATGCTGAAAGTTCTTAGTTGAAAATAACATATTACATAAGTGTGTGTGTGTGTGTGCGCGTGCACACGCGCACACACACAGAAAGTATTTTTGTAAGTATCCGTAAAAGGTAACTGTCAGTCTATGAGGAGAGGACTGTTGGCCTCAAACAAAAAAGCAAGCAGTTATATCACCAACGGAA